TTACACATCAATCCTTTTCATTATTAATTTTGTATAGTAAAAAATCAAATAAAATTACTCCATACTGATTTATTATGACTAATAATACTATCTATGATAAATTGTAAAATTCTAAATTTTAATCTATTTGTAATAGGATAAAGATATAGGAACATGATTAACATACATCTTATTTAGTTTCTTACACACACTTGTTTAATTATGATCAAATTAAAAAATTAGGGTAAAGTACAAAAAACTACCTCAACTATTGGTGTTACGACACTTTCATAACTCATCTTTTAAAATTGACAATGTCATACCTCATCTTACGAATTTGTGTTAATGTTATAACTTCCGTTAGCTTGGCCATTTATTTCTTAGTTAAATGCTGACGTGGCTTGATCCGGGACCCAATTTTTATTAAAAAATTATTAAAAACAAAAAAAATCATTTAATATTATTTAAATATTAAAATAATAATAAAAAAGTACATAAAAAAATATTAAAAAAACCTCTCCTTTCGTCCATCCCCCCTCTCTTTCTTCCCCATCTTCCTGCAACCCAGAAAAAAAGAAGAAGAAGACGAAGAGTAAAAAAAAAAACCCAAACCAAACCAAACCTAGTTCATCACCCCTCCCCCCACCATAAACCCAACCCCCTGCAACCTAGAAACAAGGAGGACATAGAAGGAAAAAAAAAAAAAAAAAAAAAAACCCCAACCCAACCCGAAGGAGGAATAAGAAGAGGGAAGAATTAGAAGAAGAAGAAAGAAGAAAAGGAAGAAGAAGAAGAACAAGGAAAAAAAAAAAGAAAAAAACAAACAAACAACGGGAAACCCAGTTCGTCCCCCCACCCAAGCTGCCGAAGAAGAAGAAGAAGAAGAAAGAAGGAAAAAAAAAAAAAAAAAAAAAAACCTAGTTCGTCCGTCCCCCCCCCCCCCCCCGCACCCATCCTTTCCCCTCCACACTCATTCCACCCCCCCCCCCCCCAATTTTCTCCGTGCCTAGGTTCTCAACCTTTGGAATCGGCCTGGCAAAGGTTTCCCGATTCCACCTCAACGGGATCTGGGTTTTTTTTTTTGTTTTTTTTTTTTTTGGGTTGTAGGTAGTGGGTGCGAGGTTGGGTGCAGAGGGTGGGGTGCGAAGGTGGGAAGGTTGGGTGCATGGGTGCGTGGAGAAGAGGGGGTGGGGAGCAGGGAAAACAAATTGGTTTTTTTTTTTTTTTTTTTTTCTGGGTTGTAGTTGCATAAAGGGGAAGAAGATGAAGATGGGGAGAAAAAAGAGGGGAGAAGGGACGAATTGATGTTGGTTGTTTTTTTTATTTTTTTAAATAACTTTTCTTTATTATTTTAATATTTAAAAAATATTAAATGATTTTTTTTAGTTTTTAATAATTTTTTAATAAAAAATGGGTCCCGGATCAAGTCACGCCAGCATTTAACTAAGAAATAAATGGCCAAGTTAACGGAAGGTATAACATTGACACAAATTCGTAAGATGAGGTATGACGTTGTCAATTTTAAAAGATGAGGTGTGAAAGTGATGTGACACCAATAGTTGAGGTAGTTTTTTGTACTTTCAGTAGGGTGCAAATTGACTAATTATGAGAGTTGAGGGGGAAATTGGCTAAATGAAAGTTGAGGGGGGAAATTGACTAATTATGAGAGGGGAGGGGGCAAATTGGCCAAAATTAAAGTTGAGGGAGGAAATTGGCTAATGGTCACAAGTTTAGGGGGGAAATTGATGAATATCTCAATATTCAAATATCTAATATGCTTGGAAATTAAAAAATTTTATTTTCTATTATTCCTTATTTTTTATATTTATATTTTTCTATATATCATATTTCTTAGGTGGCCCCAAGAACACTTGAAGTCTAAAAATATACATGTGAAGATCTTTCGAAGACCTTCCGAATGTTTGGTACAGATCTTTTTTTGTCTATCAAGTGTTTGATACAATGCCCGCTAGGAAAGTCTCGACAGGTTGCTTCAACATTGACAAATGCTCTGTTTATCACTCATTCAGAATGCGACATATGTCGATATCTGTTGACATGTACATAATATGATTTGGCTGATGACAACAAGCCCACCAAGTGTTTGACGAAATGCTTCTATGAATAAATTGAATTTTTTTGTCCCCTTTGCGCTTTGTTTCTATCTAAAAACTTAGTTATATTTAACACTAGGACCCTCCGAAGTTCCACTCTTGAATCCACCACTGACTCTACACATAGCTTTATAGAAGTGGTTTATGATACTACAGTGGTAGTAAACACGTTACAAGGAACTCCCTCTCATGTGAAAAAAGCTTCTCCTGTAAGTTTTTCTATTTTGTATCAAACAAATGAACGAAAATAGTCTTCAATGTTTTTCCTTTGAGAGCTTCCTCAATCTGTCATCCGCATTCCCCACTTCTGGCCTCCTGCCTTTTCATTTCTTTAGACACATTACCATAATCCCTCTGATGCTTAACTATGCATCTGGTAGTCCCTACTGCCTATGAAGTTTGCTTTGTGGTCATTCCAACCAAAATCCAGTGTCTCCTTAACATTGAAGATAAGCGGACACGAGCAAATAACATTTGACCAAGATAGTATCTTGTAACACTCATGTTGGATCTAAATTCCTGCAACACCGTCTGTGGAGGAAGATCACAAATCCTTTTAAATATAAAAGACAAACAATCGTAAGTAGCTAAGGACCAGCAGTCTTGGCTAAAGTTCTCCGACGGTCAAGTTAGTAAATATATGAGACTCAAACACTAGGCAATATAATAAGTGTGCGATAATTGCGTTACTAGAGATGAACCTAGAATACTGTATTTATATCAGTCGAGATAGAGACCCTTTAGGATATGGAATTTGTATTATACCGAGAGAATCCTAGAGTATATTTAGGAGTGAATATTGCATCCTCCTAGAAGTGTGATTATTTGTGGTGTACGTCAATTGTTAGCTTGTAAGGATTCCAAGAATATAGGAAACTTGCTGATTTCTTACTAGGTTAGGTTTTCGTGTCTTGCAAAACAAGCATGGTCAATCTCAGATAAGTTGTCAGACTTCGCTCTCTGCTTCAGAATAGGTTGCTGCTCCATCTATGTAGCTTTGCTGTTAAGTCCATGACCAGACTTTTGAGGTGTTCCTATCCTATCCACCTTACTCCAACCTTGGAAAATCATGATCCCACAGTCCCGAACTTTTAATTTTTTGAATTAAATTTGGCTGCAAAGTCTATCCCACTCCAGCATTGCCATCATGGGAAGTGACTTTGAGGAGAATATATTGATAAACAAGAAAAATACAATATGTCAAGGGGGACATGAGGCCAAAACTTGACCATTAATGAAAACAAGTCAAAACCTCTTTTAACAAAGAGTAATGCTAGGGAGACTAAATTTGCAAACTAAATGATGTGTCACCAATGGGAAATGAGCACGTTTATCAACGTTTAAGTAATAATCCAATCATCAACTTCCATATCATTTAGTTTACAAATTTAGTCTCCCTAGCATTGCTCTTTGACAAAACCTATTACAAGAAAGCTTGAAAAGGTTGTAAGAATAAGCATATGCAGCACAAGTAGGGCATGAATCCCACCAACAAACACCGGGTGATGCATAGTGTTGACATTGAAATTTCGGTGAAATAAATGTTCACAAACACATTAAAGTTTCGACGTGCTAGTGTGTACGTGGCATGCGCCACGTGTCTCATAAATCGTACACGTGGATGTGACTCATCAAATCGAACTAGTCATCAAGAATGACACGTGTCAACATCTGGTGGAAATGAATTATTTGATTTTAATTTAATTAAATCAAACATTAATTGATGGAGTCAAATGATGAACTGGCCCACAAATCAAGTCTTGGTTCTTTAGTCAATTAATCAAGCCCATAATCAGGGCCAAATCCATCTGTAGTCAAGGCTTGGAAAGCATATAAATAGGAGCCTCCAAGACAAAGAAAGGGGTCCGGAAATTATTTCACGCTCAGATGCTGAAGCTTTGAAATTTTGAAGCTCTCAAGCACCTAAACCCCCCCAAACACTCAAACACTCAAGAAGACTCGGAAAATACTTCGTGTTCTTCGTCAAAACCCGTGAAGAACCACCAAGCACCCCTACATGTGCCGGTTCCTCCATTGCCAAGAGCCAAAACCTTATGGCATTCGTTCATCCATGATCAAGTCATTGTGACCCTTGGATCAACAACACTACACATCTACACATTTCGGAAATCAAATCAGAGGATCAAGTTGTAAAGAGATTGTAACCCTACAAATTCATTAATACAAATTTATTTTGTACACGTGTTCTTGTCTTATTTGTTGTAGGATTTTCATGTTTACACATAGCATTAAATTTCATTCACTAAGCGGACAAATTTTATGGAAGCAAGAATTGCTTCTGCTCAGAAGGCATATAAGAGTAGAAGGAAAAGGATTTACGTTTTGTGTGTAACTAACCTGGTGATTGAGTCAAGGTTGTGTAGTGTTACGTTTGAAAGGAAGAAGAATGCAAGAGGGGTTTTGGGAAGTGGTGAACCAGGGCATCAGCGGTCAAGAGAGGAAGCTCTCGAGATATGTTACATAGGTAAGATTGTTGCTCCCACGAGTTTACTTATTTTAAGAATTGATTTTCTGTTTTCGCGTATGTACTGCAAAATATTTTGGTGCCCCCATCAATTTTGAGCCCTTGACAGGAGCACTGTTGGTACTGGCCAGGGCCGGGCCTGGGTAACCGAAACTACGAGAACAAAAATGGAACTTCATCCGAACTACAAGGACCAAAATCATAGTTTGGCCTACACAATCATGTCGTCTAGTAGTAGCAGTCCTGCCATGTGCAAGTTTCACATGATAAAATGTCCTTTGTAAAAGAGCCAGTGCTTTTCAATATAAGCCATAGTTAGCTATAAGAATGCGCGCCTGTGCAAGAAGATCCATTTTTTACTAGAATAAGTTTGCTACTCCATGATTGATCGTCCATCAAATCCGACAGTGAATTGGTACATACTACTTACTAAAAACGGCTATCATAGCAAAGCAGAATAAATCACATGAAGAAGTCATACCATCATCGACACTATGTAATCGACTTCAAACAACAACCATTCCACCTACAAACTTATTCGTACTGGTCAAATTGAAAGTGTAGTGCCACAATTTTAACAAATTATTTAACACCAGAATCTAATTGGTTAAAGCCGGGAGCAAAGTTTGGTTTTCAAGATATCTGCCTATAAATCCCAAGAGAAGATGTTCTATTTTGCCGCTGTGGTTTGAAGGGGCAGAGTACTCTCAACTTCCTTGGTGTCAACACTCCTCTCAGCAACATTCTTTGACATTCCAAACATCTGAAAACGAATGTAAAATTATCCAATCAGAATCAGAAGCAAACCAATTGAACATAAAAAACATTTGTGGATAGGCTGTATTAGCTTTAAATGTGAAGGGGGAACAAACCTTCTGCATGGTCTTCTTGAAGCACGTTTTGTGTTCATCCACAGATGCATTGAGAAAATCATCAATGTGATCCTTTAAATCCTCCAAGAAAGTGGCTTGCTTGTTCTTCTTCTTTCGACATGAAGTGGCGGCTGGGGTTGCAGCAGCCGGTAATGGCTCATGTTGAGTTTTATGTGATTCCATGGTGAGTAGCACCCAGAAGTCATTCGTTATAGAAGATCTGGACGGATGACAGACCAGTGAACTTCGAAGTTAAAATAATGCAAACCGATCATTTCAAACTAAATCCAAGGACTAGCCGCAACAAGTCACTGCAAGAAATTCAATACTATCATCATATGCAGGGTAAAAAAACTGAAGTAGAACCAACCAGCAAAACCCCTCGGTTTTCAATTCTTAAATACAAAAACCAATGAAACTATAGACGTAGTTTAGTATAAAGAACACTCATTCAAACCTTTTCATCAGAGAAGCTGGATCTATATATTGGTATGTTAATATGCAAATTGGCAAAAATGTATTGATTTTTCGTGTAAACAGATGAAATGTGAGGGCAAAAGAATTTAGGATAAAGCAGCTTTCAATTAAATACGACATAAGAACATAAAGAACCATGAAAGTTTTCAGATGGCCTCCACACCCTATCTGCTAGCATTATATATTAGTCTCTCTAGTGAACCACGTAGAATAAAGCTCAAGGAAAACCCTTTTTTCCGGGCTAGTTCCTTTTATCTTCTTATGGTAGCACTAATTAAATGAGGTTCAAAGGTTGATTATTGTTTTAGATTCCAAATGTCCCACAACCTCTATAGCCAGGGAAAAGTCTTTCCCAAATTTTCGAAAAAGGAGCACTTCTCTTCCATGAATAGCAAAGAAAATCTTCAACATATTCAGATCTTATTAAAAGTGGGCGGTCCCAAAATAAAATTCCATTCGAAATCAAGCACACCAAGGTACGACGAAATGCCACACTGAAACTATCACAGGAAAACATACCGTACACCAAGTTGTTCAGGGTGGGCGAAGTATAAGAACTTATAAGTTGTATTTGATTCGAAAAAGAAAATAGTAAGAGCAACAATTAAAATTAATATCAGGTGATAAAAGATTGAATAAAAAGCGAAAGATTCAGAACCAGCAGATACCTCTGATCGCAAGAGAAAGCAAGTCCTAAGGTAATTCGCTAAGAAATTTATAATTTTGATTTTATTATTTGTTGAAGGAAACAGAAAAATGGGGTTTGGTATTTATAAATTATACCTGCTTGGTGAAGGAGGAACCGCCTCCAGCTAGAGTGGTTTCCAAGCAAAGGGAGGCTAGGCAGTGTCCGTTGTAGACTAAAAGCGTGACGCTCGATTATGAGAGAAGCAAACGGGACGGGGTTAGAGGCTCTCTTTGGGATTCTGGTTTTGTGAATTTTTTTGTTTGTTTGGACTAAACGATGTTATCTACTTAAGAGTGAGGGATGTGGATTTAGCTTCAAAATAATGTAGTTCAAATTCGTTTTTGACAAGAAAAAAATACTATTTGAATTGAATCATGCTTTTCTAATGGATAATGATGTTTCTTCCTACATGCTTTTCTGCAAAAAAAAAAAAAAAAAAAAAAGTATTTAATAAAGCGGCACTACGTATGAAGTTTTATTATCTTTTTCACACTTATATTCAGTAAATATATTGAACAGTGCTCTAACTACAATATATTCTGAGAGTGGTTCTTTTCTCTTCCTGGCAAACGTATAAAGTCTCCATAGAAAATTTTTCTACTAAATTTAATTTCAAAAACAAACAAAAATGTAAATAATTTATTGAGATAGAGCACCCTAGCGAATTTATAAACCGTAGTTTGGGGTTACGAGGAAACCTATTAAAAGAAATAGAGCATGCGAATTGCATGAACAACCTGAAAAGCTTTTGCAATGCATATTAAATTACCCCATTAAGCACCCCATATGAAATTGAATTTACTTAAAAAAAAAATTATAGGTTTTATTAGAAGACAAGATACATGTCTTTTTCATCTTTTCAAAAAATATATACGTGTTGTAGGCCATTTTGACTGAATTGTATATTTGATTGAACTGTATTTAGGACTAGAGAGGGAGATGGACGGCAACAAGAGAGAGAAGAGAGAGATTTAATTGTGAGGTGTGTGTTGTATCACCCCATTGTGCCTTTATTTATAGTAGTAGGATAGGTTAAATCCTTACCCTTATAGGATTACAACTCTAATAGGATAATAACTACTAAATGGGATATTTAAAGATATCCCTAGATACACTAGAATTTACACAATCACATTCCTTTTCTAAATATGATTCCAACACTCCCTCCTGAGTGTGGAAATACTCAAACAAAACATCGCATCAGATCTTCAGCAGATAAGGTAGAATAGTTGATGAAGACGTCGGCACAATGGACGAATGCGAGTCTCAAATTTAAAGAAAGTATGCATTGGTAGTAAAACTCACAAAACCTCGCTATGATAAAACCTAAGGTAGGTATAAAACCCATAGACTAAGGAGAAAAGTGAGAAGTATGCATAATGTCTAAAACAAACATCAGACGGGATGAAAGTAGTGAACTCAATGGAGTATGATCATCCCAGTGATGGGTGCCTCATCAAAACCTAGTTAGGTAGCAAAAACCCAGTGGGAAAAATGCTTCTAATTGTAGGAAAAAGAGTGCATAAAGATCAAGTGAGTATGCTTTAGGATATCTCCCCAAGTTAGACATAACTTCCAAATAAGAGAACTACAAGCAATTCAACTCAGATAATTTACGCATACCGATTCCTTAGACGAGCTTCTGAAAAGGAGACTTGGGCAATGACTTGGTAAAGAGATCAGCCAGGTTGTCCTAGGAACGAATTTGCTTGACTTCAATGTTCTGATGCTGTTGTTGCTGGTGAGAATAAAAGAACTTCAGCGTTATATGCTTGGTGTTGTCTCCCTTGATGTATCCCTTCTTTAACTACTTGATACATGCTGCATTGTCTTCAAAGATCATTGTAGGAAAGTGAACGATGGTAGTAAGACCACTAGTGTTTCAAATATGTTCCATGACTGTTCACAACCAAAAGCATTCACACGATGCTTCATGCAAGCCGAGAATCTCAACATGGTTCGAAGAAGTCGCAACTAGCATTTGCTTAGTAGACTTCCAAGATATAGCGGTGTCTCCAATGGTAAAGACATAGCCCATTTGAGAATGCGCCCTATGTTGGTCAGACATATATCTAGCATCTGCATAACCAACGAGGCGAGAGTCAACTTTAGGAGCGAGGGTGATGACGGCTCATCTCAAGGATTCATGGGTGCAGAACAAGTCCAAATCCGTCGTACCCTTGAGGTAGTGGAAAATGTCTTTAATACCGTTCTAGTGTTTGTGTGTAGGCGCATTGTTGTATCTAGCCGAAAGATTAACAACGAAAGAGATGTCAGGTCTAGTGCATTGAGCCAAGTACAATAAAGCACCAATTGCATTTAGGTATGGAACTTCAAGCTCCAAAATCTCTTCCTCATCTTCCTTGGAACGGAATGGATCTCGTTTAGCATCTAGAGTCCGAACGACCATAGAAGTACTTGAAGGCTTCGCTTTATCCTTATTAAAGAGTCTCAACACCTTTTGGGTGTAGTTCGATTGATGTACTAAGATTCCATTTGAACAATGCTTAATCTCTAGGTCGAGCCAATATTGTGTTTTCCAAGATTTTTCATCTCAAATTCCGATTTCAAGTGAACAACAATTTCCTCAAGCTTTACGAGAGTTCTGATGAGGTTTATGTCGTCGACATAAACTGCAGCGATCGCGAATCCAGAATGTGACTTCTTAATGAACACACATGGGCATAGTTCTCTATTCACATAACCTTGACTTGTCAAATATTCACTCAGACGGTTATACCACATTCGCTCGGATTGTTTTAATCCGTAGAGTGATCTCTATCTAATCGAGAGAGTGTTCTGTGGTCTAGAACTTTGAACCAGTTAATGGAAGTCCTTATGGAGCTTTCAAGTAGATTTCCGTATCTAGATCCCTATATAGATACGCGGTTACCACGTTCATAAGCTGCATATTTAGTTTTTCGAAAACTACCCAACTAATAAGGTAGCGGAATGTTATGACGTCCATTACAGGGGCATACGTTTGCTCGTAATCAATCCCAGGGCATTAAGAGAAGCCTTGCACCATGAGGCGTACTTTGTATCACACTATTTCATTCTTTTCATTACGCTTCCTCATGAAAACCCATTTGTAGCCCAGGGGCTTCACATGTGGTGGAGTAGTAGCTACAGGCCCAAACACCTTATGTTTCGCAAGCGAATGGAGTTCGACTTGGATCACTTGTTTCTAGTTTGTCCAATCCGTTCTACTTCGACATTCATCAGCGGAAAGTGGTTCAACGTCATTGCTAAGCATGATGTTAGTAGCTATTGTGTACGTAAATACATTGTCGATCATCATCTAATTCTGATTCCAAACCTCATCCAATACTACGTAGGGGACTGAAATCTCGAAATTCTCTGGAGATCGGGTTGTCTCATCTAAGACATCACCATAATCTTGAATAACCTCATGTGTTGGAACGAATGAGTAAGAGATGGTCGGATTTAGACTAGGGTCACTAGTTTATGTTTTTTTCGTTTTCTGGGGTTGTGAATCCTTTGAACCAGAGGGTCTGCCACACTTAAGGGTAAGAATAAATGATTGGGTAGCCACCTATGTATCGGGCTATGTGGAAGGTGCAGCCGCCCCACCGTCGGGGACGGTTTGGCCTTCCCAGGCTGTAATACGCCAAGGTATGTCCATCCTTGTAGGTGCGTTTGTAGCAGGTATATGTGATCTCGTCACCTTTGCTAGATCAGTAAAGGCATCCGACATGCTTTGAGCAATGCTATGAAGATCTAGAATACATCGTACTTCAATTTTAGACCGTTTAGTGTGGGGATCTAAATGAGACATAGTGGGAGCATACAATGACAATTCGACAAGAACGTTAGCATTCTTATCTCCCCCTAACGACGGGAAGACTGTCTTATTAAAGTGACAATCCGCAAACGTGCAGTAAATAGATTCCTGTTAAGGGCTCTAAGTAGTGAATAATTGATGGCAAATCATAACCAACATACAATCCCATTTTTCTTTGAGGACCTATTTTGGTATGTAATGGCGGCGTTATTGGCACATAGACTGCGCACCCAAACACATGTAAATGTGATGCGGGAATTATACGCACACAAATTAAACCCTCTTGTTGTCAAATTGTAGTAAGGATGCAAGTAGGGATCGTTCTAGACCGGGGATTAGGAGGGCTTGCTAAAACCTCTAAATTGACTCAAAAACATAAAAACAAAGTTAAAAACGTTCACAAAGACTAAAAGGACTCAAAACAGGTTCAAAAGACTCAAAACTGCCTAAAAACACTAACTAGGCAGTTTCTGACCTTAAACACAAATTTGGACGAATTTAAGATTATAGGTTGATTCAAAACACTTTAAAACACAAATTAAGACACTTTAACACTAAACTAGACTCAAAGAATGCAAAACTAAAAGTTAAAACACTTAAACAAACCTAAAACCCAAAACAGCAACTAGAAGACTCCAAACTGCCTAAAAACCACTTTCTGGGTAGTTTTGAGCACCTACACTAATTTGGACGAAATTGGATGAAAACTTGAATCAAAATATTTAGAAACACAAATCAAAACACTTTCTAACTAATCTAAGACTTCAAATTAAAGGGGGATTTGTTTTGGACGAAAATTGAAATAACAAAACAAAGTAACAAACTAGGCAGATTGTAAAACGAATTCCTTGAAAACAAGATGATGGATGGATTAGCTAAGGGGTTCATCTCCACACATGTTACACTTGCATACAAAACGATTTCTAATTGCTTTTCAATAAACCATGAATTCTCAACGCCCCGGGTTAATTAGGTCCGCTTAAATTAACCGTCAAGTTTTCCTTAAGTTAATGAATTGGATGATTGCATACGACAACCCAAAGCATTCCTCACAAGTTCCCTACATGAATTGCATAATAGAGATACAAGCAAGAATCATTAAGCATCATGAAAACTATAAGTGTTGACGAGGCATTCGTTACTATGATTGCATGAAACTTATGCCAAGAATTCGTTTAACGCGATTGTTTATAAGCAACCTCCACTACTTGTGAATATAAGTTCGTAACTATTAGGTGAAACTCACTTATATTCTAGCGTCATATTCATGCATGAAAATTAAGTGTGCACTCTCAATAAACATACATAAATAAGTTATCAATCAAATAGTTAAACAAATTGAATCCACAACTTATGAAACGCAATTAGAAGTAATCAAATCAAAATGCAAGCATAAACATATATTTCGAATCCCCCCCTAGCTAAGGGGGGGTTTAGTTCCTCATGATACAAAACAAAGAGAATCAAAGAAACACCTAAACATTCCAACAACTCAAACTTGAATTGTATGAACGTTTAGGTCCTCTTCTCTTCCATTCCTCATTCGTACAAAACAAAGAGTATTGAAATTAAACATTGAAATCAAAGAAACACCTAAACATTCCAACAACTCAAACTTGAATTGTATGAACGTTTAGGCCCTCTTATCTTCCTCTTCGTTGTAGCACAAGGTCTAAGGATAGTTTGATGGTGTGAATGGTTTGGGGAGTTGTGAAAATGGAAGGAGGAGGCCACGGCATAAGGGAATGGTTGGTGTTTGTGACTGAAATGTGTATGGAAGAATGAGATGAATTGAATGAATGCAATGCATGGTTTTATAGGGAGAGAAGGGATGGGAGAACATGTGAATGGCAGTTAGGAATGATTAAAGAAGGGAATGCATGTGTAATGACAACTAGATTGGTTGGTGGAAATCTGAAAATGGATGGGAGAGGGAACATGACAGCTAGGTAAAGTGAATGTGGCT